ATATTACTACATGGACATATTTATAGTCTTACTTATTTGAGAGTAGCTATGTCGAGATTTTTAGTTACGATCAATTAAGCGACTAATCGGTGGGAATTTTTTGCGATTAACTGATTGGCAATTCTGTATTCGATTGCCATCCCATATATATATATATATAGAGAGAGAGAGAGAGAGAGAGAGAGAGAGAGAGAGAGAGAGAATCCAATAAAAATCTCAGTGGTGGGAATAAAATACTTAAAAAATGAATGAAATATTAAGATTACTAACAGTATTCAATCTCGAAAATCCAATAAAACGATATGAATTTGGAGCAGGGCAAACACGGACCTCAAAAAATTTAGAGGTGGAATCAGGTGCCATGGAGGAGTGAGCATCCAATGGTTGTATAGATTCTTTTGGAAAGTATGATATCTGAAATGTATAATCAATGTTTAATATGAAAACGAAGTTAAACCAAAAAGATTTTAATATAACAGTATACTTTGAAATCAAAAAGAATAACTCATTCAAGATTTCCCTGGTTTAAGTTGGTTAAAATACACAAATCTGTATATTTCTAATGTTCAGTTAGTGGATTTCCATAATTATACTCTTTTCAAAATCTGTAAACTTCCTTGATCCTGTCTGAGATCATTTTGACAATTTTTGCAAGGTATTGGTATAATTTTTTTTATTGTTTATGGCAATTTACTACATGTCATAAAATACTGAGAGTTTTTGGATGTTTGTAAGTGCGCTATAATGTAGACAAAGTCATATACTAAGAGTGCGCTGTCGACTGGTCACACCCACCATGTGCTCCTTGTCTCAGGCAGATGGGAAAATCCGTAGACATTCAGAGTAAAAATAACAACAAATGGCCTAAAAATTAGTATGGTATGAAAAACGTCAGTCAACAGTCGACTTTATGATAGAAACATTTCATTTTAAAAGAAATTAAGTATAGCCCTATTAATTAAAACCAATTTGAAATATGATACAAATGTTATCTGTCAACATTTTTTTAATTAAAGGAGAATGAACAAAGAGAATAACGTGAGATAAAATCATACTCTGAAGAATTTCACTGTCCATAATTTCTTCTTTTCATTAATAATCGGGTACCTTGAAATTGTAACATTTTCGAAAAAGGTGTCAATTATTTCTGAATGTACAGAATCTTATCTGCTGACATTTAATTTGACATTAAACCTTCGATGAAAATTCTCTTTGATCTTTTGAGTAACAGGAAGTCGGTATGATGATAATAGAAAATTATTAACCTCCTTATCAGAAAGACAGGGATATCGAACATTGCATGGGATTAATTGGGTGTAAGAGAAAAAGAATAAAGACCCAAATATTCAAAGTTTCTGAAGATGATAAGACATATAACCAATATTTTATACCAAACTTATACAATTCATGCCTAATGAAAAATTAATGGAAAAAACTTTCAGATTCTTTGCCTCCAAAGATGGTTCTATTGTAATTAATTTTATCTTTGTTTATAAATTAAATTTAATTCAATTTAATTCTGATAAATAATAACAATCCTAAGGCACTTGACACATGATTTTCATTTACTTAGATGTAAATAGTATTGCATTATTTCTCATGAAATATGGAGATAACGAACAGGATTCAAGTTCAAAGTCCATTAAAACAATACAAATTGGGAGCAGAGCAAACACGGACCTCCAAAAACAGCAGAGGTGGGATCAGGTTCCATGGAGGAGTGAGCATCCCCTGCCGCCCGGTCACACCTGTCGTGTGCTAATTGTCATGATCGGGAAATAATGGGAAAATCCTTAGACGATTCAGTGTTTAAATAATGCCCTTACAATTAGTATGAAAAAACGTTTCTTAATAACTTACCTCGTTTTAGAACTTGTTCATACGTAGAGCATGCTCTTGTGTATAGAATCAACCGAGAGATATAAACCCCATATGCAGGTGATAAGGGTATATTACTGCATAAGTAAGGGAAGTTGACGATTGAAAAGTTAAAGGCATCACATTTATTATAAAGCTTTGTTGTTAGACTATCAATAACGTCTTTTTCTAGTAAAATATCCAAATATGAAACAGATTTGTCAGACTCTGTGGTATCTCTTTTATTTCAAGCTCACTGGGATATCGTATCGAGATATGAATGGAAAAAAAAACTATTGTTAGTTGACAATACGTCATCTGTATATCTAACTGTCGAGTTGAAGGCCACAGCAAGAGATTTCTTTTTCTCATGTATAAGATTTTGAATAAATTCTGCTTCATATGAACACAAAAATAGGCCTGCTAACAACGGTGCGAAATTAGTCTCATGGAAAATTCCAATAGATTGTTGGAAGACCTGATCTCCAAAAACCACATAGATATTATAGATATTGTCAATCAGAAACTCAAGCATCTTTTTAATATTAACTTAAAAGTACTTGTGTGTACAATCAGAGTGTTTTTAACAAAATAATTTTTTAAAATGACCAATGACAAGGTAATAAATATTCGAGTTCCATTTTTATTGAAAAAGCAGCTGTAAATAATGTCAGAAATCCTGGGATTTAATTTATCGTGGGAAATGGTTGTACATAGAGTTGAAAAGTTGTAAGTTTTTATGTAATTGATTTTGGAAAAATTTTTTGATTTCGATTTCAAATTTTCTAAAAGTTCCATAGAATTTTTAAGTATCCACATCAGATTTACACCACTTCTCCAATATATTGTTGCATAGTACTCCTAATGTTTCTCCTTCAATGCTGTGGAATATTTTAGTGAGGAATAAAGAAACTTGATAGAACATTCACTGGAATCCGCTATGTATCTTTGTTTGTAAGGATTTTTTATGAAGTTTCAGAAAATATTATGAAAATAGTAATAATGAAAATCATAATTGAGAATCTGGTTACTTGTAAAATACATACATTCAAAAATAGAATCTAGTCACTAGTAATATTCGTAAGTGTCTAGTAACATAATCATTTGTGACTAGTATCATATTCATGAGTGACTAGTGATATGTTTATTAGTGACTAGTAATATATTCATTAGTGACTAGTAACGTATTCATAAGTGACTAGTAACATATTCATTAGTGTCTAGTAACACATTCATTAGTGACTAGTAATATATTTATTAGTGATTAGTAACAAATTCATTAGTTACTAGTAATATATTCGTTAGTGAATAGTAATATATTCATTAGTGATATATATTCATTAGTGGCTAGCAATATATACATGAAGATTCATGTAAATTCAAAAACTTCTTCACCGAATTCTGTGTAACTATAACAACTTCGTCCCCCACAATATTCAATGTAGCATACATAAGATCTCTCCTCACGGCTATATAAATCAAATGTACAGGAAAAGATAAAAGTTAATTGATTTTCCTTTGTATGAAATTTACAAGTTGATAACACAGAAAGAAAATTATATCTGAAAATCCCCTTTAGCACTAGGTTGTTTGACAGCTAACCTGTCTGCCTATCTCACTGTTTGTGTATCGATGTCTTGAAACTTAAATGTCAAAATTAATAACAAGAACAGTGAGCTTACAAGTAATTTTTAAGGTGAGTGTTATATTGATCACTTAATGAAAGACATTTGTAACATATCGACACCATTGGTTGTTCCACAATTAACCTTCTTGTTTAATGTTCATCTTGATAAAGGTTAGAAAATAATAAACCCTGGGACCTGATTGGAAACTAAAGACATAAATATGACTAAAATTTCAAACATTTTCTACGTGGAAATAAAGTATGGCTACTTTCGAACAGACTAACATTATATTGCAAGTTAACCTGACAATCTAGGCACGTAGAGATATAGTGGAAATGCTCAACTGACAAGCAACCACATAACAATTTGTGAAATTGCAGAACGGATATAAAAAAAAAAAAATAAGCTGTTTGATATACCTTCACTTCATACAATTGACATTGACAATAATAAGATAAGGTGTTTTTTTATTAACAGAAATTTAAATTTATCGATGTCAAAAGTTCCTTAATCTTTGTGCTTTGTTTTTGTTTTCTTCTTTCCATGGTACATGATCCCGCCTCCAATGTTTTTTGGGGTCCATGTATGCTCTGCTCCCGATTTGTATTGTTTAAATGGACTATGAGCTTGAATACTGTTCGTTATCTCCATATTTCTTTTTCAGATCTCTAGATTATTTATTCATTGACTGATCGACTGACAGATTGATTGATTGATTAATTGATTGATGGTTGGTTTATGTATATTCGAGAATTTTCTCACTCACGTTGAGACACCATCAGTTGCCACTGGAGGCCTTCAAATTCAGACCTATACTCCACACTTATGACTTTTGAGCAGTGAGGGGTCTTTTTCGTGTCAGTTTCTTTTCAACTTAATGTTAAATTTGCCAACAAAAAAATTAGCACCTAAAATATAAGCACGCTTTTTTGCAATGTATTTAAACTTAAAATTCGTTATTTTGTGAAAGAGCTCCAAGGAGCTCCAAGGAGCGTTCGTGCCGTTTGGGGAATGTCTTGAGCTCGCTATCTGGCTGAGTGTCACCTGAGACTTTATAATAGAGATCGATTGATTATTTGATTGATTGATTGATTGTAGTTATTTATATTGACAAACGCTTTCCATTATGTAGTGAAAGTCGCAGGTCTTTCGGATGAAATCTGAAACCTGTTATGCCGTATCATGTTTGCACGATAAGAGACCTCCCCTGCATTTGCTAGATCCACACTTTACCTATACTTCAATCTCCATGCAGTGTCAATTTTCCGGAACTACTTTCCTTAAACAATGATGTCGTGTATCATAAAGCAGAGAGCTCTGGAACTTGCTGGTAACGGTTGATATCATGACATTAAACTACTCTCAATGAATGAATGAACCAAGCATTTTTGTAAAATGTTTCATTTTAACATCTGCTGAAATCCATCTTCAATACCGATTCTCAGAAAAAGTTATCATTTATTTTCTGCTATTATATCAGGAGGGCTAGAAAAAAAAATATTTTGAAAATTAAACTTTGATTATTTACTTTTTAGCTCTTTATTAGTTATCAGAAGTAAACCAAAATCACCAGTGCTTCCAAAAAAAACAAGAACACAATTACAAACAACATACAACACCAACTGATTCTTCTAAGATGTTTTTCCTGCATTTACATTTTTGACAAACCCTGCAGATTGTCCTCACTGACCAGTGTAAATTCCTCCGCCGTCATTATGATCAATCAAAAGTTTATCCTGTTTCACTGAGTTTATGTCCTCCTCAGTCGGATTACTAACATGTCTCCGCAGGGAATCAATTGCAACTGTGCTGGCCTTACTCCCCTGTTCTTCGGATATGCACTGGGACTTGAATGCTTCCTTAAATCTGTATCGAAAGTCTTTACTGATAAATGCATACAGAAACGGATTTATCATACTGTTAACAAATGTTAAGACTGTACATATATGGAGTATCACTATTGTAACTATGTTGTACAAACTCATTATTACAAGCACAATCTGGAAAATCCAGTATGGCAACCAGCAGATAACATATGACAAAATGATGGCCAAAACTAGGTACGTGACTTTCCTGTGATTTTTGCGCTGTTCCTTTGATCGCTTTCGATTGGCTGGTCCAGCACTTTTTATGTGCACAATAACACATGTGTAAAATGTAGAAATGAAACACAGGGGTAGTGCAAAGCCAAGAATAAATACATAAATTACATATACTGGAACAGCCTTTATATCCCAGTCTACAGTGCAGGAAAATTTACCTTCCAGGAAAGGATGGGACGTTCTTCTTGAAAACAAAATAATGGGCATCGAGAGCAGTAAGGAAAGAGTCCATATGACTACGATCACAAACACAGCTTTCATTGGTTGGCGATGTTTCTGTGATATAACCGGTTTACATACTGCAATATAACGGTCCACGCTTAAACTCGTCAACGTCAAAACGCTGGAAAATGACGTTATAGCAACAGTGGTGAAAAAAATCTTGCACAAAGCTTCTCCAAACACCCAGTGTTTAACAATGGTGGTGGTGGTGATCATGGCGATGTGTAATAAAAATATCAAATCCGAGAGAGCCAAGTTGAAGATGTACATATTAGTCACTGTTCTCATCTTCGGGGATTTTAAAATTACGTAGATAACCAAGATGTTTCCTAGCAAACCAGTTAAACCAATTAAAATGTATATCACAACTAAGACATTGCTTTCTGTTTCACTATTGTCACTGATAAACTCATTTTGTGTTGTGTTGTTCAAGAAAGCCATGATTTTAAAAACACAAGAAATATTTTCTCTGTAAAAAGTATCTATAAAAAAAATCCCAGTATTTTAACAAACTTAAATCACCAAATACATTTCTTAAACTTCCTTTGTAACTTAATGGAAGAACAATGTTTTAGACCAGAACTAGCGCCAGTCGATCGACTTTCTGTATTTATACAGCCTTGCAGGCCGAGAGGAGTTCCATTCAGATTGTTCTATTGCGATATCACGACAGCAACATATTGCTTTAATGAAAACACATTATGTTTCGAGAGCTTTAACGTTTCAATACACTTTGTTTTTATTCTATTTTTTTATTTAATATTTGTCGAGAAGTTTTTCAAACATATGTTGCAAAACATGCAAGAAACAGAGATCATCTTAAAAGCTACGTTTTCAGCATGTCGTAAATCCTAACGTAATGCAGCTTATTCTCTTGTTTTTATGTTCAGCAGTATAGGAAAACACGGTTGATTTTAACTCCAGTTCTACCGATTTTTTTTAAATCAAGTTTTTACATTCACAGTGTCTTATTTATCCTTCGTACATTTGTATATACGTATGTATATTTTTGTATATACGTATGTATATTTTTGTATATATGTATGTATATTTGAATCTTTACATTTCTAATATTTTTTTTCCTTACAAAAAGGAATGCAATTAATTTTCTCATGAATTAGCATGGATGAGCATAAATATATCCCAGACTTCAAAAATTAATATTGTGCAATTTTTTAAATGATAGGTCAATGACATAATCTGTCGCCAGTCATCAGATAAATAATGTAAATATAAGATATGTATTTAATATTTGAAAATTCATGGGGTACATGAACTACAACCCTTCCCGCCTGCATATTTATTATGAAGCGGTATAATGCGCTTCAATAAATGTGCCAGCATGTCCTCATGAATTCTAAAAAAATTAAACTCACTTCTGAAGTAAACACCTGCTTCAGAGAAAAATCAGCTTTCCCTAAATTTTTTATGAAGTATATTTTATTGGCTTATTTTGTTTATCTATTGAATTTTTCATTACATTTTTTTTTTTCGTGACTTCAGCATTATAATCTGAAATAACGAGAACAATGCAAGATAATATAACGTTAATAGTTTGAGATATTCCGAGGTAAAATTAAGATTGCTCTTAGTTTACAGGAATATTTGCATTTCCAAATAGTTTCCCTAAAGATTCTTTGTAAATTAGAAAACAGTTTTTTCTCATTAACTACTATGGATGAGCAGGAATTTCTCCATTGTGACTTTAAACATAGTGCAAACTGCTTTGTTTCAAAAATGATCGATGAATGACATAAATCTGTGGCAAGTCATCAGAAATAATGTAAATATAAGAAATGATTTTAATTTTAAGAATTCATGAGGTACATAAACTGCATCGCTGCATGTCTATATATAAAAACATGAAGTATGCCGGGTGTAATGACGAATAATGACCCCCGTAGAAAAATGACCGAGTAGTCATCGAAATATTACCCCCTAACCGTAGGAAAAATTAATTTTTTTTTGTAGAAAAAGGACCTTAGTTTTCTATATGTGCAACCTATAATTAATTGTTCCCCGTTGAAATATGACCGCCATCTCAACAGAATGATACAAAGTTCAAAAGAGATGATTGATACTAAGGTTTGGATCTTAACGGATAATTCTTTTGCGTTTTTCTGATTAACACTAGACGAACACATAATTAAAATTTATTTAAAAATAATATATGTGTAGACCTATTGTGTTCTCAGCTCAAAATTTAACAGTGGCTATTGGTTAAAGGTAAGTCAGGACGATATTTTGTTATCGCTAGACCTATTATTTTGTCCAAACATTTTTCCGGACATGACTTCGGTAAAGGTAATGAAACGTTTCAGCAACACTAGATGTTCAATTATTTTTTTTTAACTGACCACCGTTGTCATTGGAAAAAACTAATATTCTCACGGTTGGCTTGTAAAATCTTTGTGAAACTTCACAAATGTATTTACATTTAAGATTTTTAAAACTGTTTTCATTGCCGTGAAAACGATTGGACAAACTTTCTTCTCGCAAAAACGAGTGAATTAACATGCACAGGTACGAAACTGCCGTTACGGGATCTCTTTAAGATCTTCTTTTTTGCTACAAAGAGGAGATGGGACGCAGTTTTTAAATAACAATAAATGTGTACACACACACAACACAAAAAAGGAAACAACCTGGTTGCATATGAAAAACAAGAGGCCCATGGGCCACATCGCTCACCTGAGTAACTTTGGCCATGCTGTTCATTACCAGACTCCCCCCTTGTAATACCTATTGTGGCCCCACCCTCCCCCCAGGGGCCATGATTTGAACAATTTAGAATCTACACTACCCCAGGATGCTTCCACATAAGTTTCAGTTTTTCTGGTCCAGTGGTTCTTGAGAAGATTTTTAAAGATTTTTCCTATATATTTCAATGTAAAACTTGGGATTCCCCCTATTGTGGCCCCGCCCTATCCCCTGGGTCATGATTTGAACAATTTAGAGTGTACACTACTTGAGGATGCTTCCACATAAGTTTCAGCTTTTCTGGTCCAGTGGTTCTTGAGAAGAAGATTTTAAAAGATTTTTCCTATATATATTTCAATGTAAAACTTGGATTCCCTATTGTGGCCCCGCCCTA